GGGTTCAAAGGGTTAAAAAGCTAAATTAGGCTAAAAAGACTAAACAGTCTGGTTCTGGTTAACCGGATGCATCACCCTGTTACTGTGCTGCTGTCAGTGTGTGAGGAAAGCTGCAGCAAGAGTTTAGCCACCACATTGGGATGCTGCAATAAGCACCACCACAGATTTCTGGATGTAAACAGAGAACTGTGGCTGATGTGGCTGGGCCAAAAATATATTTAAGAAGAAAAGAGGTAATAGGACTCACAGCTTTGGGGGTTTGTTTGATATTGCGTCCATAAAGTCGCATTCAGGCTGTTGTGGTGTAAAATCTAATTTAGCTGAACCTTGAGAACAGACTTTGATTTGTCTAAACTTGTTGAAACACTTGTAACAGACTACAATGCAGCACTGTAACCAAGGATGCCCTTTAAAATTTGATGATTTGAAAGACGTGTCAGACAGCCCCCAGACGAAATTCAGGTCTCTCAGCTGAATTGTCAAGAAATCATTTTTAAGTACCCCTCCATCACTGTCCACAGAAGAAGACACAATAAAAGCTTCTGCTGACAACACATGACAAGCATGAACACCACTGTGCCGGCACTCTCTGTCACTGCTTTCCTGTGTGAAGAGCTGAGCCGCCCAAGTGACTGATCATTGCGTGACGGCTTCAGGCTACACAATATTACTATTCCACTCGCGTCGAAAACAGACAAAAAGTTTCTACAAAAGTCAAAACTTTGGGTGCATGTCGATGCATGTTTACCACTTTTGAAAGCAGGAAAAACATTTTAAGATTTTTAAATCAAATTTTTCCGTGTTGCAGGCAGTTGTGAAACTGTTTGTTTCACTGTGGTGATGCAGATGAAAGTTCTTCTCTCCATACTGTATCTTTGTATAATATACAATATCATACCCAGGTTATGTGCAACATCATATTCTACCATATTTTTATATTATTTATCTTTTTTATTTGAAATCATAGTATCCATTATATGGACCTATGGTGTATATAGTGTGTGTGTGTGTCGCTCTATTGTATTGCATTTTTCAGCTTTTCCTGTTTATAGTTTATTTATTTTCTTTTTCTTTCTGTCAATTTCGTGCTCTTTCCTGTATCTGTACTGCTGCAACAAGTGAGTTTCCCCATTGGCGGTGAAAAATAAAGTGCAATCGAATCGAATCGAATCTAAAGATTAAACAACATGAACATGCCCTTTGGTACCTTGAGCCAGGGGTGGTTAAGAGCCTCGTAGACGGTGATCCTCTCGGCAGGGTCCAGCATCAACATGCGCCTCACCAGATCCTTTGCGCTCTCTGAGATGTGGCCCCACTGACGGGGATTCATCTATACAAATAAATATGTACAGAGTTTACAAAGGCTTCAGGTATTATTCCTGGATTATTCCAGGCTGGATTTATCTTAGCCCATCTAATAATGGTAAACCTAATTGAGGCAGCTAATATCAAATTTTAACACACAATTGCTCTTCGTTTCCTTCTAGTTTCAGACGAAACATACACTTAATGTTCTATTTCAGGGATGAGGACATTTTGTGTTTAATCGATTAATACCGATTAATTTGTCTATTACTACTAAAGATGTTGCAGTAGAACTCGGCACTGTCAGCCTAAACCTGGAGGACGAATTCTTGGTGCACAACCCTGCGAATGTTGAACTAAGCTATCAGCATGTTCTTGCTTCTTCCACTGAAAACTGCTGTTTGGTGTCTGGGTTGTAGCAGCAGAGCTCGACACCAGTGATAACACTCAACGTGAAAGCTTGACACACACTGTCTTGTTCGCACATCGCACAAGTTTGGTGAAATCATGAACCAACATCTACAAGTGGTCAGAACAGAACTTTCAGAGCACATGATAAAAGTTGCAGGAGCACTGGGAGCAGTGTATCGCTGCACAAGGACACCACATCTAAAGGGGATGCCAGCCAACGTTAAATGGCTACAGCTTCAGTCTTTTTTTTTTCTCGTAAGCGATGTAGACTAGAACTTCTTGATTGCATCTCATAAAACATCTTAGACTGTTGTGCTTCTTTGAACAGACTCCTGACCTTGTATTTGCCTTTACAGATGGCTTCAAACAGACGCTCCTTGGTGCCGTAAAAAGGGAGACATCCCGAGAGGAGGATGAAGAGGATGACTCCACAGCCCCAAACATCCACAGGTTTACCGTACGGTTCTCTCTTCACCACCTCCGGGGCCATGAAGTGGGGAGTTCCTACGCGACCTGTAATTCCAAATACAAACAGAATGGAACCCAGTTAACAGTGATGGTGCAAAGTAAACATGTCTCCCACACAGTCAGACTTGCTTGGTCATTTTTAATTCATTCCTATTTGTAGACTCTTTGGACTAGAAAAAGGAAGCACATTACTTCATTATTGAGGGACTTGTTGCTACTATTATGACCATAAGGTCATGCTAAAGAGGAAACAGACCCTTGGCGTCAGCTTGCTTCCTATTTCTTGATCAAAATTGAAGAACTACACAGTTTTTCAGGTCGTGATTCAAAATTAAAGTGTTATTTCTCAGCTTTTAAAGCTTTAAAACTTTTAAACTGACTCAGAAGGTATTGAAGTACCATAAAAATGAACATCTTGTGACAATTGCCGACTACAGTTAAAATGTAACACAATGACAGTTCCTACAAAATGTTAAATATTGCAAAGAGGTACATAACCAGAATTGTGAGAAACTGGAAGAAAAAAAGGTAATCAACCATTCTAGGACATGTTATATACAATACAAAAAGTTTATTGTGTCAACAGAAAAAAGGCCAGAGCCAGTAAATGTTGTTTTATGTCAGCTGGAGGTTTTCTGTGTCTGTGTTTTTGTGTAAGTAAGTGTTCAATCCTCAAAAGCAAAAAACAAAATTTAAATGGTTGTTTTTTATGGATTACAAGTAATGAATATACATTTTAAAAGGAGCCTGTACTTGTTTACATTTTGGCATATTGGCACAAGTAAAAGTACATCAAACTAGCAATTAGCAATTCCACTTTACAATGTACCCATGAATTTACAGACAAAACTGTAATTTGTAATCTGTTTTTATCATTTCCAAGCAGGTTTACAGATGTTTGTTTACATACAAAAATTCAGCTTCAGTTTGACGCAAATGTCTGTTCATGTGTTTAGATGAGAGAATTCGTCAGTGTTGTGTTTTCTGTACCTCCTGCCACCAGCCCTGATTCTCCGAGCTGGATTGCGACTCCAAACCCTCCTAACTTCACCGGAGCCGAGTTTTCTTTGGACGCCAGCAGCACACAGTGAGGCTGAGAAGGAGCGAAGAAAAGAGAAGAGAGAGGCTCATGATCTCATGGTCGTCTTTTTGCTAATTAAAGAGCAACAATCTCCTATAAATAACAAAAATCACATGTGTAAGACACACCCAAACCCTCAAAGCATCACCCACCACGACCACACACAAATACCCCAGAGTGTAGGAGGATCTTAGAAGTGATATAGATTTTAAGTTTTGCTTTAGTGTTTGAAGCAGAATGTCAGTTTGTTTCAACTTCAGTCTCAAAATTTCATACAGTTAATTAAGTTTTGTGTCTACAATATCCAAAATGTCTTCTGCTTGACGGAACAGAACCACAACAACAGAAAAAAAAAGCAGTCGCTAAATGAGGAATGAATCAAAATGCAAATTGAATCATATCAGACACACTTGTGGGGTGACACTGGTAAAATGTTTTACTCAACTATCTTTTGGTGCTTTATCTAAAGTTACACTCGATCCTTTCACATCCTCTTCCCCTCTTTTGACTCAATAGCTCATTTCATTTCATGTGCAACATTTGTGTCGATATCTATTTCCTCTTGTGTCATAGCATGAGTGACTATGTGGTTACATCTGCATCGACAGTCATGAGCAAACCTTTACATACACTTGTTTTTCTGATGTACAAAGTTGTGTTAATCATATTTTCTTTGTGGCCTCATAGATTCTCATGAATGATTACAGTTGACTACAGCCGATGACTCCTCTGAGGCAAATTAATTAGAACCAATTTGATTCACTTATTAGACTCAGCCACAAACATGACAGTGGGAAAGTCTGAGGAGCTCAGCAAACATCTGAAAAGGCAAATCATTGACTTGAACAAGTCAAGAAAGTCACTTGGAGCCATTTCAAAGCAGCTACAGACCTCAAAATCATCTGTGCAAACAATAGTTTGTCAGTATGAAGTACCTAGTACAGTTGTGTCACTGCCATGCAAAAAAGAAAACACACCTGACACCTGGCTAAAGCACAGGTGTCAGTGTCCACAGACAAGTGTGTTTCCATTACCATGAGCTGAGAGGCTGCCATGTAAGAAAGAAGTTCTTCCTAGAAGCAGAACCTTAAAGCTTGACTGAAGTTTGCTGCAGATCCCCGCTTAGGAGAGGTTTTAGTTTCCAGGCTGATTCCATGTGACAACACAACATCAACTGTTACAAAGTCCCTTCTCTGTTACAGGGTTTCCCCATGATGATCCCATTGACCCTTACCCTCCAAATGAAGCTCTAGAGTTTGCAAGCTTGGGTGGCAATTTAAACTCGACCTCACTTTACTCTGAGGGCATTGATTTAATTACCGTAAGGACGTACAGTGGTGATTTAGGAGCCTTTTTCTTTCACAGTTGACTAAACTCTGCAGAGTCCTCCATGTTATAATCAGGGCCCAAAGTGGAAAGTATATTGTATATATGCAAGTGGAGCATGCTCTGTGATCCCACTGCTTGGCCTCATGTGTAATCAGAAGATCTTTGCTGAGCCCTGCCCTGCCTTCCTCTGTATCTCAGCGTGGAGGAGGGCCGACCACAGTTTTAAGTTTTTACTGTACAACACCACCGCATTCTGCACTTCAACATTTCTCTTCAACAGCACAGCTGGGGAGGGCTGCTTCTTACAGCTGCAGAGATAAGGATGGCCAGCGAGGGCCTATTTTTATCTAAAATCTGAATATGGGGTTACTGAAAGCAAGAACCTGAACGCACAATGACACAAGGAAATAATCTTGAACTTTACAAGTTTTTTCAGGGCAGCACATCCTGGATGATTTTACCTACAGATTCAACTCAAAGGGATATTCTGGAGCGACTCAGAGGAAAATAAAAGGACTGCAAACACTATAAGCAAGCTACTATTCTGCTGCACAAACTGTGTGTGATTGAGGATATATTCTTACCTTCCACACAGCTGCACAGAAACAAGAGCACATGCTTTAGTGTGAACTTCAATGACTCTGTGAGTACTTTGACAAGTTCCTCTTTGAAATTGGAGCAACATATTTTGGTTTTCTACGCCGCAAACTGTTGTGAGGTGCGAGCAAAGTAATTCTGTTCTCCTTTTACCACTATTTCTGTTACTGATCTTTTGATATGAATGCCTTGCAGTCTCATGCAGACTCACGGGGTGTAACAACACTAAAAAATAGAGAAATCATGAGTTCTCTGCCTCTCCAAACATTCTGCACAGATGACATCATAATATTAAGAATAATTGAAATGCTATCCTTGGTAAAGCTGACATGGCAGCAGGTGAGAGCAATTTTAGTTTATCTTCACAGCGGCTGCATTAAACGTAGAACTCTCTGACTGCCAAAACCCACTGACTGGCTCATTTTTTTTTGGTTAATGTGACATTTTTACTCACTGTGGGCTCATTTTTCACTGCAATATAAAGTCCTGCACCTCTATGAAAACAGTATGAGCATGGCTAGAAGTAGAGAGAACTCAGAAATGAATTTTGTGCAGTATGACACAGTTATAATGCTATAAATCATAAAAAAGCGACAGCTGACTTTCTTTGATTATTTACATTATCTAAAACTGTCACAAACTTGAAGTCACACGTACAACACGTTCTGATGTTACAGTGTTACCTATAGGCTACCTCTACATACTAGATATTTAATGATTTACATTTCTAATATGTTTCCATATTTGTCTACTCTCAGCTTTGTTTAAACTCAACCTGCAGTTAAGCCGGAAGTCCCTAATTTTTTTCTCACATGACTGTTGGTTGCAGAGTCAGTCATGGCTGCTCAGTTGAGCCGAAGAACATAGAACATATAGATTTTTCCAGAATCTGGTGCCAACGATTTAGTTTAGACAATTTTTATATGAGACATGGAATTATATGATTTTGATGAAATGTTACAATTTTAAGCTTAGATTTTTCCAACAAAACTGCACATCATACATGATTCAGTCAAATACTGTCAATGTTTTGGGATTCAGAGGATTAAAATGTTCGTCTCTTAACTCTCTGTTTCCCCATAACACTGTAAATGTGTTTTTTGTCTTCTCCTTAATGTCATTGTGGAGTACAGTTATCACTGCTACGGCTTTCTAATTTCTGTTGGTATGATGGTGAGCTGGTGTTACACATCATTATCAGGGGCAGGATTAATGCTGATTCAGGGCTAATCCATATAGCTGGACCTCAGCCATCATCACACTGACCTGCACTAATGAGAGTCCACCACTTTCCCAAGAGAACCAAAACCTTCCACGTTTTTTTTCTCATCTGTTTGCAGGACTGAGGATCACAAAAACCACCATGACAAGAAACATCTCCACCGCAGCCACCTCAACCGGGTTTCCTATCATGAACTTGACCACTGACTCACAACACACTTGTGTGGATTACGACGCTCTGCAGATCCCGCTGGCGGTGCTTTACTCTATAATCTTCATCTTGGGTCTCGCTGGGAACCTGGTGGCTCTGTGGGTTTTCTTCTGTGTACACTCAAAGAAGAACTCAGTCCGGGTGTTTCTCATAAATGTTGCTTTCGCAGATCTGTTGCTGGTGGTGTGTTTGCCCTTCAGGATACTCTATCACAGCCAGGGAAACATCTGGAAACTGGATCCCACCTTGTGCAAAGTCGTGGGAAATGTCTTCTACATGAACATGTACATTAGCGTCACTCTGCTGGGGTTGATCAGTGTTGATCGATACTTGAAGATCCATCGCAGTGCAGGGATGCAACACAGACTGAAGTCGGTGAGGTGGAGCGCTGCCCTCTGCGCTTTCATCTGGACTGCGGCCTTGGCTTTAACTTTAGTGCTCATGATGTCAAAGAACCACTCACACTCTGACAGGTTGGTGGCATCTGGGATCTCACTTTCATATCCTTTTATTTACTCCTCTGAACACCAAATCCTGTCACATTTCTACTCACTGTGGCCTCATATATATATATATATATACCAAATCCTGTCACATTTCTACTCACTGTGGCCTCATATATATATATATATATAAAACTGGAAAGCACCTTGGCCCAATAGGTGTAATTTTAAATGGGCTTTATAACTAACAGTGACTTGGATTGTCTTCTTTGTGCTCAGTGTTAACACAGCCTGCAGTTCAGCATTGTTTGTTTTTTGATGAATGTGGTTACTGCAAACATTTTATTTTTGGCTCATTGTTAATAAGACATCTAGAATAAAGTGAATTTCATTTAATATTTAAAAATCCTGAATTTCTGCTGAGATTTGGCTGTTTTCCTGAGGAAAATCATTCATGAGTAAAAGTCCAATTAGAATGTTGAAAACAGACTTTTGTGTTTTTACATTTTCTTGCTCTGATAAATGGTGTAATTTTCCCATTTCTTTCAATATAACATGCCTTTAAACCTGCAAACAAGTTTTGGAGTTCAGAGGGTTAACTGTACTTTTTGTGAAATTAGCTAACACAACATGCTTGGTGTTTCCAGGTGTTTCCACTACAAGCTGCTCCATAACGCTCGGTGGAAAGCCTACATCAACATCTTTGTGCTGGTCGTCTTCTGGCTCGTGTTCATCGCTCTGATGGTGTCTTACGGGAAGATTGCCCTGAAACTCCTGAAGGAGTCACAAGACAAACCAGACCTGCCCAACGCGTCCCACTACTCTCGAACTGCCAAGAAGTCCTTCTTCATCCTCTTCCTCTTCACCGTCTGTTTCGTGCCATACCACACGGTCAGAGTGTTCTACATCAAAACCCAGATCACAGAAACCTCATGTTATTGGAGAGGTGTGGCGGACAAGGCCAACGAGGTGGCCCTGCTGTTTTCTGCCCTCAACAGCTGCCTGGATCCCGTCATGTTCTTTCTGCTATCATCTTCGGTGAGGAAGGAGGTTCTGCGGTTGGTAAGCAGCATGTTTTGCGTTCGAGATGTTGCTGGGAGCAGTGGGAGCAGCTCTACCTTGGACTGGGACAGTAGAACTGGGAGGACTGACAGAGGACCGTCAAACATCAGCTCAACCAGCAACCTTGGGGAGAAAGCAGCTTCTAAATGCAGTATTGATGAACTGTAAATGTACTATGAAGCAAAGAGCCTCCATGTTTGCAGAGGAAGAGGCCAAGATATTTGATGTTCTCACCTGAGAAGACAATGACTGAAACTTTCCATTAAAGCATTACAACCAGTCTTAAATCAAATCAAATCAAATCAAGTTTATTGTCATTTTGCTGTACATACACAGTAGTACAGGCAAGATGAGAGAGCGTTTCTTCAGGATCATTAAAGTTTTGCAGAATGAACATCTGGGATAGGCAAGACACTAAACGTTCACGCTCACTGTGTCCTGAAGGGACCGCTGCGCCCATACACGCTGCCGTTGGCTGAACATGGTGAACCTCTTCAGGTCCTGGTAGGTCTTCAGGGACACAAAGACACACACGATGGTGTGACGATGGTGAAGCCGCAGATGCTGCCCAGAGCTAGCTGTCTGTCTGTCCACCTGGAACAATGTCATCCCCTCCAGCTGTATGTCCGTCTGGGATGTTGTCATGGAGCCATGTTTCCGTAAAAGCAAACATACAGCAGTTTCTCCACTCTCCGCGGGCAAACGTAGCTCGTCCAGGTTGTTGTGGAGGAGAGTAGAAGCGGCGTTCCTGCTGGTCTGGAGGGGTTAGCCTTTAGTCTAGCATGGATCCCAGCTTTCTTCCTCCTCCTTTGTTTACGTTTGTACCGCTTGCTCTTCCTTCTCTCTCGGGTAACTGCAGTTGTAGTCTCCAATCAGACCTCGTGTTAGTGTAGTATGTCCAAATCACAACCGATCGCTGCAATTCCAGCGCCGTTCACTGTCCTAACGCCCAACAAAGTCTCCCGGTCGCAAGTTTTGTGGAATGAACGCCTGGGATAGACAAGACACTCAAAACGTTCACTTTCGTTGTCTCCTGAAGTGGCTGCTGCGTCTATGTGCGTCACCATCACCATGGTAACTTAATCTTACTATGATTTCAAGCTTTATTGACAATATAGACAAAGTTGCAGATTATTTAGGGGTCTGATTCATGTACACCAATGAGTCATAACATTAAAACTAATGACAAGAAGAGAAAAACCTTAAATATCTCATTACAATGCAGTGTTCTGCTACAAAACCTTGGCTCCTATGTTCACATGGATGTTACTTTGACACATATCACCCATGTACATTTTACTTAGACCCCTTAATGCCAGTGGTGCTTCTCCAGCAGGATTATGTGCCCCACTACTGCAAAAACTGCTCAGAAACATGACAAAGAGCCCAAAGTGTTGACCTTGACTACAAACTAATCAGTCCTAATCCAACTGACCATCTGTGGGTTGCGACAGAAGAAGCCCGATCCAACCTGCAACCTACAGAACTCAAAGGATCCACTGCCAAGATCCTGGTTCCAGACTGCACAGGACACCCATGGAGGATAGACAATACCAGGGAGCATGTTTTCTGGTTGTGGCTTATCATTGTATATTTCTTGGCATAAAAGGGTTCTGTGATGTTACATAGATGGTTTTAAATCACATAAAACCTGCTCTACTTCTTTCTTAATGAGAGTCTCTTTGGGTGAGTTCACAGCATGTCTATAATGCAGCTAAAAGTGCAAAAAAGAAAAAAAAAGATAAGTCTGCTCAGGAGTTTCCTCAACAGTCTTCTCAACCAGAAATAAAGATAGCAGACACAACATGTAATACATCAGGATTGTGCTGATATGAATTAGTGATCAATCGATTATAGGCCTGGCTGAATATAAGACGCTTTCACAGTTATTGAAATACCAATTAAAATCAATGAATGCTAATTAAACATTTACAGAACATAAACAAAGCAACTTGAATGAAGTTCTGTGTTGGAATTTGTTTCAAGTTTTGACTGTACGATTGAAATTTTTACTGCAAATACATATATCAGTTCCAAATATTGGTTATTGGTCTTCATAAGTAATAATCACATCAGTCGATCCTTGACATGACTATATGTGCATATTATTATGAACATGAATGCAGGTCACATATGAGGTAATTCAAACCACAGTGGCTGCTATTAATTTCACTATTTTTTATTAATAATTACTCAGTTTAAATATTTTTCAGTTTAAAAAAGGTCAAAATTCTGATTCCAGCTTCCTGAATGTTAATGTTGCCTGACTTCTTTCCTCCTCTGTAAAATAAATACATTTGGGTTGTGTGGAAAACAGACATTTGTCCCCTTGGGCCTTAAGAAACTGATGGACAATTTATGGAAAGAATATTCAACAAATTGATCTTCAATGAAAATAATCAGAACTTACAGCCCTAATTCATACCAGCTTGTGAAAAATTAAGTGCTATGGTTGCTGAATTTTGGTGCATACACTTTGCTTCAATTACTCTTTGTGGATAATTAAATTTATTGTGTGTAGCTAACAGAAACTGAAAACTGCATCTGATGTTTCATCACAAGACTGACAGATATCTCTAGTTCTTGAGGAAACTCCGAAACCAGAACTTGATTTGTGACATTTTGTGCGGTTAATCAACAACCAACAAACAGATATCTGAACAACAGATAGAACCCCAACCACAGCTCTACACTGCAGATACATCACATATCTTACCCTCCTTCTCTTTCTTTACTTGTTTAAAGCTGTTGTCAGGTGGTGCAGAAATAAAAACTGAGCCACTCTGTCACTCTATAGGCAACTATACTTCACCAAGAAAACACTGTAGAACAATTCAGACAACACTGAAGGAAAGAAGACAAACATGAACAGAACTTTCATGACAAATTATGATAGTGATCACAACTTACAGAAAACTCAGAGGACCTTTTACTCAGATGGAAGTAGGGGGTTTTCCTCATAAAAAGCCACTATTTAGTAATGTAAGAGCTGTTTGATATGTAAAAAAGCATTGTTCTCTGTTTAGGATGTATAAAGACTTTATACTGTATGTTAATGTAATTTACTTACTCTCAAAACTTTTTGGAATAAATAAGAATTTCAACAGTTGTCTGTGTAGTTATACAGTTTGAACGGAGGGAAGTGAGTAAATGTGAGGCCTTGACAACACACCCAACTCTTTCAGCTGGAACAGCAGCGCCACCTTAAGGCAGAATAAATATAAACCCACGTGAGGAAATATCCACAGACCCAGCAGATCACAAGAACTTCTCACTTCCGTGCAGATAAGACGAGATGACTCGGCTCAAGTGGGAACACGAAAACTCTAATTTGCATGTAAGAAAATAAAGTCTATCAAGTTGGAGAGAATCACCGAATAACTTAAGGTGCATTTGTTTGCAAAAAGAAAACCAGCTTTTCAAAAGGAAGTAAAAAGAAAACTGCTTACATAATAATGAAATGGCGTGAAGCACCGCAATCAACTTTTACCACATCTATTTTAATTCATGCACCACAATGGCTAACCTTATTCTCTATTCTCAGTCTGCCATTTTGCATATAAGGTAAGAGAGGAAGCTGAAACTAATATAGATAATGTGACAACACACCCCACAAACAAGAGGCCAGGCTTTAAGTGTTTCAGGAAGAAGCTGTGGCAGAAAAGCTCTACGTCGAGCTGGCTGGTACAAACTACTGTTTTCACCTTAATCTGGAAATATTTCATCTGTGGAAGTGTTTTTAAGGCAGCGTCCTTTGGTGGTATGTATTACCTAAACACTAACTGTGCTGTGTGTGAATATGTGCACTTATCTGCCATTTTATCATCTGAAATAATCAACTTTTACTGTGAGTAATCTTAATTCAAGCATGCATGTATTATATTTATCATACTGAACCCCAAGCAGTTTTGAGGGTTTTTTTGCTCCTGTTACATTTTTGCACACTGTGGGTTAATTTTTCACTGAAATATAAAGTCCTGCACTTCTATGGAAACAATACAACTATGGTTAGAAGTAGAGAGAACTGAAAATTGTCGTTTGTGCTGTGTGACACAGTCAAAATGCCGTAAATCATATTACACGTAAAAACAAAAGTTGAATTTCCTTGATGGTCTTTTTGTACTGAAATTGAACAAAACTGGAATCAACATTTTTTGGCAACATTTTTCCGCTTAGTAATTTACATGGTGGCTCCACATGCTATTAATATTTTAACACTTATATTTTTATAACCTTTATCAAAGTAGATGTTCATTGACGAGCTGGGTCTTTAGTCTTTTCTTAAAGACTGAGAGGGAGTCAGCAGATTGAACAGAATTTGGTAACTCGTTCCACCACCGGGAACCAAAGAGAAGAGTCTAGCTGTCGACCTCTGGCCCTGTTGCGCTGGTTGTATCAGGCAGTTTTTGTTGGTTGAGCGTAGTGAGCGGGAGAGAGAGTTCAGGTAGGAGGGAGCTGGTCTCATTGTAGTTTTGTAAGCAAGTGTCAGGGTTTGAATTTGATGCGGGCAGCAACTGGAAGCCAGTGAAGCGATCTGAACAGCGGGGTGACGTGCTGTTTTTGGCTGGTTGAAAACCAGAGGTGCTGCTGCATTCTGGATCATCTGCAGAGGTTTGACCGTGGATGCAGGGAGGGCTGCCAGTAAGGAGTTGCAGTTGTCAATGTGTGATATCATGAGAGCTTGTACCAGGAGTTGTGCTGCATGTTCAGACATGAAAGGTCTGATCTTCCTGATGTTGTACAGGGCGAATTGACACGACCAAGCAACAGAGGCCACATGAGCCTTGATGGTTTATCAACTAAGTGTTGAGCAAGAACTCGACAGCTGGTAAGAAAAGGAAGTCAAACAAGCTCAAGTTAGTACACTCAAATTAAACTCATAAACTCCACTGAATAAATGTTTTCCATACTTTCTTTTTAGCTTTGTAAAGTTTTACAGTTTAGCAGATTTGAATCTTTATCTACTCCTACTTGTCCATCACTCTGAAAAGACAAAATGTTTATGTTTTACAAGCCTGGGCATCAAAGATGTTTCCAAAACTGCATTTTAAATGGACATTTAATTGATATAGAATGACAGTTAATTCCCTGGCATTTGGCTGGACTGCACAATGTCCCACAAAACTTGTATTTGACATTGTGCTCTAAAATTCTAAATTCAAGCTGTATTTGTACACTGAAACTATCAAAAACATATAATTTATTATGCAAGGCAGCAAACCGTCTGCAGTGGAACATGTAGAATGCTCCATCTGCTGCCATTAAACCACCAGACGCTGTCTACCACAGCACCATTCAATTCATTGCACACAGTGTGCAAACTACACCATAGTTTAAAGGGGAGTTCACCTTTACTTTCCACTTTTTCACAGTCAGAAACTACATTTATGAAACCTTTTTTTAGGCTATTATTTATCATTACTGACATCAACAAGAAAATGAATAAGAAAAATAAGAAAACACATAAAAAGGAGCTGCTGCTGCTGCCTGATTTCAGCACTGGGGGGGGTTTGGTTCGTGGTTTGTTCTTCTGTTTTGCTTTACGGCGGTTGGCATTAGAAAGTTCGTATTTTTCAGATATTGGAGTAATAGTGAGTGAAGTTTAGATTATTGTGCCGACACGCTTCGATGGTGATGGCAAGAACAGCATGCATGCTGGTATCTTTATTAAAGTGAATTAGTGATAAACCGCCCTCATGCATGAATCATACATCAATAACAGCCTGATTTCACGCGCGGTCCATGATGAGGACAATGAAAAAAGAGGGATGCTTGGGGAAAAAGACAAAAGCACATTATCAATATTTTACTGAAATCGACCCCCCGAAATCTCACAAATTATCTTTACAGGGGAGCTCACGTATTATGACTCTGCCTGGCTCCCCTGTAGTTCACACTGATCACACTCATCACTGAGTTATATGAAGACTGGATGATCAACACTGGCATCCTGGAGGCAGCAACATACCTCAGTCTTCATATATAAGACCTTACTAAGTATATTTCCAAGATATTTCCAATCTTTAGCTGATTTAGGGACATAGTAATAACCAAGACACCAGGTAATGCCACAGATTAGTGTTTGAAAGTTCCTCATTCAGACTCTGAATGAGAAATTCAATCAGCTATGGTCTTATGCAGATGTAACTAGTTCTCAAAAAAATGATGTTGTCAGTGAGGTTTACCCCCAAAAACATACTATTTGGAAGCAGCCTTCAAATTTGAAAGGCATGTTTTCTTTTAAAATAACAAAAAAATTACAAAAGTATACTATTTATCAGAGTAAGAAACAGTAAAAACAGAATGAACTGTCGGATTTTCAACTTTCCGGCTTTCTGTGAACACGTCGCATGTGATTCTGTCAGAAAAATTAACCAGTGGTGGCTGGTGAAAATGTTTGGTGGTGGTGGTGGTGGGGGGGGTGCAGTCTGCAAATGACTTTCTATTTTAAATCAGAAATTAGAATATGAATAACATCAGGCACAACTATTTACAGGAATGCAAATTTTCTACCTTAGGAGGATATTTCAATCATAATCTAATTTAGCATTATTAAGACTTACTAGAACTAAACTTCAAAACCATTCATCACACTTTCATCAATATTCACAGTATCTGTACAAACTCAAAACACACAACAGTGCTGTTTCCATAGAGGAGCCCACACTGAGGAAAAATGTGACAAGAGCCTGAAACACACAGAAACTGCCTGGGGTTTAGAGGGTTAACTATTGTCTCTGTTCTTGCAGATCAAATGGAGGACGCCCTGCACACACTGTCACCAGATAATGTTTCCTCCACCCCCTTTGATTGTCCTCTCTGCCCCACTGCTGCTTCTCTATACTTCCTCCCCTCCATCTACATCCTCCTCTTCTTCACCGCTCTACCAGGAAACATTCTGTCTTTGTGGGTGTTCCTGCGTTGCATCTCCACCATCTCCCCCACCCACGTTTATCTTTCCCACCTGAGTATCTCCAACCTGCTGCTGTCCATCACTGCTCCCTTCCTCGCAGCCTACTACGCCCTCGGTTCAGTCTGGATGCTGAGTGATGTTCTGTGTCAGCTCGTCCTGCACGGCATCACCCCTGTACTACACATCAACATCTACATCAGCCTCATGATCCTCACTTGTGTTGCCCTCAGTCGCTTTGCAGCCCTCATCCAGAACACCCATGCCTCTAGACCCAGCGCCTTCACCACTGTGCTGCCTCACGCCTTCTTCACTCGCCTCACAAAGGTCTCCTTTGCTAATGCCGTGTGTGTCACAATGTGGGTGGTGTCAGTTGGGGGCATCGTGCCAGTGACGGTGTACTACTCGGTGAACGAGGCTATGAGCTGTGACGCTGCTGCAGCTGGAGAAGCTGAGAAAGGGCAATGTGCAGAGGTGTGCTACAGCCCAGCGGTGGAGCTGGGAGGCAGCCTGTCTGGGACTCTTACTGTGGCGGTTATCACCATATTCTTTGTGTTCTACCTTCTGGTGCTGCTGTCCTACATGGCGGTGCTGAGGCACGTCAGACGCTCACGTCGCGACGCTAACATCACCACCTCCAAGAGCCTGCTGAGCAGGGTGCTGCGAAACATTGTGGTTATCCAGGTGGCTATGAGTTAAATCAGTATTTCAATTTATGATCATAGTTAACCCTCTGAACCCCAAAAGCCGCTGGCTTCTTTGAGAGGCATATTATCTGAAAACAGAGAGAAACATCAGATTTTCAACTTTCAGATGGTGCTTGATCCACTTGTGATGTGCTGTTCTGTTGAAAAAGTCACATTTTATCACTGTACTCTACATGTCCTTCAGTAAAAACTTGCCAAAAGTAAACTGTTTGCATCTACCAGATTCTATAATAAACAAAAAATTATTTGCTGTGACCGACAGTCACCTGACAAAAATTCTGGGATTTTTCAGCTGAACTGCTGCCTGTGTTTACACAGAGCCTGTATAATTATAGTAACTATAAGTTTAAGTACTTAAATTTATGTAGTATGTAGAGTCATCATTGTTGATCCAGTATTTAAATTTTTGTAAAACAGGTAATCAAAGAAATTCAACTTCTCTGTTTTTTTTTAAATGAATTATAGTATAATAACTTTATTGCACTGAACAGAAGACACCTTTGAGTTCTCTTTCCTTCTAGCCACGGCTGTGTTGTTACTATAGAGGTGCAAGACTTTAAAATCCAGAAATAAAATGAGCCCACAGTGAGACAAAATGTGAAAAGCCACAGAAATCACTGCTTAGTGTTTAGAGGGTTAATGCCTGCCTCTTGAGTTAAATATAAATCCATACTGTCACCCTTATTTCACTTCTATTTCAGAGGACTGTTTTTTTAACCAACTCTCTGCAGGTCGTTCTTTCAGTTTGCCTCCTGCCGTACCATATCTTCAAACCCATCTTCATTTCTCTGGCCCAGTCCCCATGCACCAACACCCGCAACGACTGTCACCCACTCTCCATCTTCGTCGAGGTGACTAATTTCATCCTAATGTAAAAAAAAATGATCCCTCACTACTCTGAGGATTTATAGCAGCTTGCATGATGAGTTTCTTTCTCCTCTTTCTGTAGCTGAAGAATTGCCTGTTCCTTCTCGCTGCACTACGAGCCTCAACTGACCCGGTGATGTACTTTCTGTTGGACAGGACCTTCCGTAGTCAAACCCTCAGACTTTTACGGTGCAACCAGAAAATCCCGGAACGAAGACAAAAATTTTGGTTGACTACAGAAAGCACCAATCAGAAGGTTGAGAAGGTAGGGGAGGAAAATGTGGTGGCAGCTACTGTGGATTGAAGTCACAGTGTTTTGTAGCTGACGCAGATTTTCTACTGAAAGAACTCTGTAATGCGAGTACTCAAGTGAATGCGCTGCAACAATTACTTGTATATAGCAACAAAACAAATGCTTGAGTTAGTGTATTCACGTATTTATGGAAGAAAACTACTTTAGTGGTGAACAACTTAACCCTCTGAAACCTAAAACTCGCTGGCAGGTTTGGAAGGTTCAGGTTGGAAAATTAACCAAATCTAAGTCTAAAATTGTGACATTTCATTAACAACAGGATATATTACGTGTCTTGTTCAGAAATTTGCCAAAAATAAACTCTTTGCTTGAACCAAATTCTTTTTGGCTGAACTGCAGGCTGTGTTTAAACAGAGCATATAGGGAATGTAGGGAAGCAATCATCAAAGACATTTAACTTCTGTTGTTTTTTTTTGGGGGGGGGGATTGTTTTTTCAGGATTTTTTGAATTATAAATATGTCATACTGCACAGAAGAAATTTCTGAGTTCTCTCTGCTTCTAGCCATAGCTGTGCTGTTTTTTATAGAGATACAGGACTTCCTATTGTAGTGCAAAATAAGCCCACACTGAGTAAAAATGTGAAAGGAGCATAAAAAACAACCAGACACTGCTTGGAGTTCAGAGGGTTAAGAAGTAAAGGAATAAATACCAGCATACTGATGCTACTCTTCATCTCCTCAGGTAACAAACTGAACATGCACTTGTAAATAATGGTCAATTTGTGTAAAATGTCACAATATTATCTCCTAATTAGATCATCTGCTTCTAATCTCTCAAGAGGGATCACAAAGTTCCCATGTGGATATTACAGAAGTATTAATTATGCTCAATTAAAAACACCAACAGGTTTAATTACTTGCTTTGTTTGTTGTGTCCTATATTATATTATGACTTAATAAATAAATGAGAAAATCAGATATGTGTGGACTACGCTTGTTATGTCAGAAAGTAAATACGAGTGTCAACGAGTCTTTAAACTTTGGTATTTGCTGTGTAGAGGTTTGAAATGTAACATCCATCATGGTCAGGTTAAATAAAAGTCTTTTTGTTTGTACGAATAATTTACTTTTGTGTGTCTTTCTTCAGGCTAAATAAATGATGAAGTTCATGTCGCTGCAGAGATATTCAAATTACAACAGAGAGCAGAAGGGGGAAGTATATTTTTAAACACTTTTGTTGCATGGGAATTAAACCTATGAGCACTAAAAGAGCCATGTGCACAGATGCAGAAAGTTCAGTGTCAGTTCTCTGTTTTACTGACCTCACACCAGCGTTTATAAGAAGTACTGTGGTCTTAATATAAGCTGCTACCAGTTTCTGAAAACCAAACTCAGAGAGCAGTGAAAAGGGAACAGTAAGGCCATGGACGCTTTGTCTCATGCTAATCATCTGCTGTGGTTTCAGACACTGTACCGCTGGGAACAGAGTCATGAGGCTGCAGAAACATGACAAACTCCAACAGATGTGGGATCAGCAGGCGCAAGTCCCGCTCCGGTCGTAGATTAAACCCCAACAAATTTACAAATTAGGAATCTTTTTCCATGAAAAAAAAATCCCTTCCTGCCTTATAAATGTCTTCGATGTAACTCTACAGTATTCATCTAGAATGTGCAGATCTGTGAAGTCTGCTGTGAGTCCTGAAGCTGCAGCAGGATAATAGAGCACCAGCATGTTTAAAGAATGAGCATGGCTGTATAGAATATACATTAAACAAAAGGATCAGTGGGTGTATACAAAGTAATGATTTTTCTCTAAAAATCGATTAAAGTAAGAGCTATACTTCTGTTGGTTCACCCTCTGAACACCGAGTACATTCCCCAGACACATTTTTCTCATTGTGGACTGATTTTTCTCTCCAACATAAAGTCCTGCACCCCTATGGAAACTGAACAGTCATGACAGGTATCACAAGTACAAGAAAAAGAATAGTGGCTATAGATATTTTACATGTACAACCACTACAAACCCAGATTTTTTTCACTCTACTCTGCACTATAACTGCACTATAACTCTAGAAAGATGCTGAATGTATCTTCCAACAACTTCCTCCTCTGTACACTGTTTTTGAGCCATAATGCATTTATTTTATCCAGTATATATTTTTTTATCTTTCTCTCAGTCTTTCTTGTTGTGTCCTCTCTGCTCTGTGGAAATGCTGCCTGCAGTTCAGCTGAAAATGGTTTTGCTTTTTGTCACATTACTGTTGATCCCAACTGATTTACTAATGGCTTCTCAATTTTGCTGAGGGGACAGAATTTTGTGTTTTTTGGCAGAATCTTGTGCAAACAGTTTATTTCTAGTCATTCTTTCCCCCCACTAAAACTCCATGTCACTGATGATTAGCTCAAGGACTGTCAGAAATGTTAAAATCTGGCAACTCATTCTGGTTGTACAGTTTCTGGTTCTGATAAAGGACCACCTGTGAATTTTGAGGTTTAGATAAATGAAACCTGGCTGTTTAGCACCAACAAAACCTCAACAGATACCCTCTAAGAACCACGTTTGGTACCTACATGAACTGTAGGTGAAATTAAGCAGTCATATGCTCTGCTGTTGCAAAATGGCTTGATTTTGGCAATTTTTTTTAACACACCATGTCGAGTAAACTGATTTTGATTAAATATCAAAATTTTAAGCTTAGATTTGGTTAATTATCCCAATTCACCCTGATAAATGGTAGTTGGACAATTGAAAGTCCAACAATTTTCTCTGTTTTTACAGTTTCTGGCTCTGATAAATGATGTAATTTTGAAGATTTAAAAAAAAAATAAAACAAAGCATGCCTTTTCAAACCCCCTGGTGCATTTTGGGGTTTAGAGGATTAAGATTCATTTCTCTCCTTAGTCTGATTGTAGTCTCGGTCTTTTGTAGCCACTTTGCTTTTTCATTGTAGCATCTTTCCATCTGGATTTTTAATGCGATATTGAAAAAATATAACATCACTTTCAAGTTTACATGAAAATGTTTGTCGAGTGTCTCTCATGTGCCACAACAGACTGTAAATATTTGATATGTACATGTCAAAAACCTTGTACCATCATTGTAAGTTAATTATAGATGGTGGATTACAGAGTGTACACTGGTGTTTCTGTTTGTCTGGAGGTGTGTAAGAGTGTATTGGGAGAGTTTTCAGGAAAACAATGTTCTGTGAAGTGTGGCCCCTGCAGATGTGAGTCCCCCCCAGGGGTCCTGGGCTGCTTTTCAGACTGGAGAAGACAGCAGAGAGAATCACATATCCTCCAGTGTGCCTCGCCTGCCGCCTTCCCCCATACTCACCCATAGAGAGACACAGGGCAGAAGAAAAACACAGCACTTGTAAAGAAATGCAGCCAGGAGAGAAGTAATTCACAGTGAGAGAGGAGGGTGACTGGAGGAGGAGAGTATTTTAACAAGCCATGGGATGGGATGAGCTATGAACTACTGTCTGACTGTAAAAAGCAAAAAAAAGTCAAGTTTAAGTGTTGGTTTGGTGGCACAAGATGGGAACACAAAGTCAAAATATTAAAACAAAATAAGTTAAAAAAAAATACAAAACTGACTATTCTTGGGTGTTAAAATGCACCACGATGACTTTCATTGCTGTCAATATTATATGTGGTGTATTTACATAGCAAGGCAACTGCAGGAACAGACAGGAAGCCGAGCTGAGAAGGATACTGAGCCAAGGTGTGAATACAAAAAAAGATGCGAAGTAGAAAATGTGTTATCAGAGTACAGGACTGTCCCTACCAGTACAATACTTATTATAAATACGATGCAAAACCTTTAGTTGGACATTCATCTGAACATTCTCCATAATTAGTAACACAGTAGCCACAATGTGTATTACAGTCATGTAAAGTTGTATGTCATACAATTTTTGTATAGTTTTGATCCACAATATGTAAATGACTCAGGTAAATTCACTCCATTAATGACCCTACAGCAGGGATCTCCAACTCCGGTCCTCGTGAGCTACTGTCCTGCAGGTTTTAGACGTTTCCATACTGCAACACACCTGACTCAAACTAATGGATCATTAACAGACTTGTGTAGAACTTGACAACAAGCTGTTGGAGATCCATTAATTTGAGTCAGGTGTGTTGCAGTATGGAAACGTCTAAAACCTGCAGGACAGTAGCTCACGAGGACCGGAGTTGGAGATCCCTGCCCTACAGGGTCTCAACCCTGAGGGAGAAATGTTCTGTCTGTCCCCAACAGAAAAGCTGCACTTATGTCTAACCTCAAACTTCTTGTTGTTACAAGATTCCAGTTTTCTCCTTGAACCACATCGATCATTCCACCTCAGTTCACCAATCAAAAAAACGCTTAAGCCTGAACATCTTCAATTTGACAGATTTTTTTAAAATATTGACTGAGTTGATGACGTGAAATCTGGGGTCAAACGTAACATTAGTTTCTGAGTTAAAAATTCTTAAAGAAGGTGGGGTCATGTTGATTTTTGCGCCAATCTGTGGATCAATGTTTGACGTGCCGTAACTTTGGAAATAATGTAGCTGGAGTCCTGAAATTTTGTAGGCTCATTGGTATGTACATATGGGCTTTAATGGTACAACCCTGTTTTGATAGAATATTACAAACCAATCATATGATGGTACAGATTTGCTGAAAAAAATGTCATGTTTTTTTTCTATTCTGATATTCCATCAACCATAAAACTGTTATTTTTAAAACTGCAGAGTATGGTGCCTGTCAGAGGCATACTTTATGAGGAAAAAAACCAAAACAAAAACAAAACTTTTTTTGCATTTATGGCCAATTTTACCAAAACGTATTATTATTATTTCACAAGAACAACATATCTCAGTAATTTTCTTGTTCAAAGGTGAATAATGTAAGTAAAAGAAACATCTATAGGGAAACTTAACTGACACAAACTGGGCGTCATTAATTAAAATGAGAGGAAGGTTCATTACTGCCTGAAGAGACGGTCAATACCAGAACATGACAACTTGACAATATGTTGGGGGTGTTTGTTTGTTATGGCTGTAGGTTGGTTTCATTCTGTTGTGATAATTACTCTGTGTGTGTGTGTGTGTGTGTGTGTTTGTGTGTTAATATCAGCGACTGTTAACTGTTGTTTACCCCAATTAACACAACCTGCAGCTGCATGCATTTGCTGAATAATCGTGATTGTTCCTTACATCATTCCTCCAGTATCTCAGCTTCATTACAGTTGCGAGCAGCCCAGATCAGAGACTAACACTTACACCTGATACCTGTATGTGCTCGCACATGTGAGAGTATCTGGTTGCATCCTTGTGCTTGTTTGTGAGGCAGGCAAGAGTCTCCCTAGAGATGGCATTAGTTCCTGTGGTTGTCATTAACAGTGGCTGATAATTGCTTTTGTTTGTTCAGGCAAAACGTTCTCAGACACCAAAGAGCTTCACTGCCGGCACATTCAGGAGGTGTGAAGCTGTTAATGCTAGTCCAGCTCACAAAAAGTTGAGAGCATCTTTAAACTTATCAGTTCATCAATAAAATATTGTTTGAATCGAGCACAGGATCCATTCTTTGTCTTGTCATGTGAGGGTTTTTCTGACTCACACCTAGTGCATATGTTTGAGGAAAATAGAGTTTACTTAAGAAACCTGCTATGTTCATACAGCGTGTAACAGTGCTACACTTCTTGTTTCTCGCATTTTCATCAGCTGCAAGCTTTAACACCAAGTGTAACACCATAACTTTTGTCAAACACACCCTCCTCTCCCTTCATCTGGCAGCATCTGCATGTGTTGATGCTGATGTCTGAATTAGCAACCGCCTCAGTTTTTCATAAAATTTGTGATGGCAAATGTCAAACGTAGCAACATCTCACTTTCAACACGTCCCAAGACTGAAGTGCACACACAAGTGATGTATTCAGAGTTGTGTTAAGTGATTTATGGAAGAATTTGTTCAGCATTTCATCACCAATATTGGTCAAAAAGACTTAGTTTGAATGCCAAATGATGAAACATCGTTCCCCTTTACTTTGCCTTCCCAGTTCACACCTATGACAAACTGAAATGTCCAAAAAAGTCAAACTTAATTTACAACAAAGACAGAGTCTGTACCAGAC